ATGTATTAATCACATATTTCAACTATATCACTTTAGTATAGTAAGAGTACTCCTGTCACCAGTTTGTTTGCATGTGGAATGTGATCATAAGTGGGGCCCAAGTTTTATTGCACCTTCACAGCAGACTCATTTTCCTCTTGAGGACTCTGGACATCCTGTTGCAGATGAGGTGACGGTTGGTCGGAGCTTTTCTTACACTGAACAGTTAAGGATCTGCTAATAATTGATCTGCTGTGGAATGTTCTTTGTTTAAGAGTGTCTGTGTCTGCGTATATAAGATGTAAGGGCGGTGGCCACAATTCAGAGATGGTCCTGGTGTTTCACTGGGATGTTCTCTCCACACTGCAATGTGTTTATTAAACCCAATTCAAATCAAGCTCACTGGTTGTGTTGCAGGTTATTGTTAAATTTTCCACAACAATAGTCAAAGGTCACACATTAGTACAGCAAATAGCATAGTTTCTTGTGATAATCTTACGATATACATGTGTATAATACTTCACCTAACTACATCAAATATATGGGTTAAATGCTTTATATAGTGATAAACACTCCAGTGTGGGTTAATATATATTGTGTGTTCGTGTGTGTGTGTACTTGATCACATAATCTTTACAGTGATTTCATGATGTTGTTTTCAGTATCTCTGTTACCATGTTACTATTTTCTAAGAGACATGTTTTTGAATGTGCTGCATGAAAAACGTTTATTGTGCGTGGGTGCGTGTCAAGGAAAAACATCTCGTGCCTAAGACTCTACATACAAAGTTACAGTATATGTTCAATGCAGATATATAGTGTATATAGGTATACATGTCATACAAAAATCCACCACATTATGAGACCTGGTTACGAGGTGTTACTGGTACTACTGTTCACCATGCGGTAACAGCCCCACAGCTAACAAGTCAGTAAATTTGACACACTATTATTAGCTTACTTTTTGTTGTTTTCTCTCAGTTTTCAAGCTCCACCTTTTCGCCACTTCTTCCAAACTAAAGTTTTCCTACAACGTGCATAAGCGCACAGTGAAGATAGGGGAGGGGCTGGTCCTTTGTCAGCTCACTTTTGTG